AGCCGTGTGGTGATTTTCTACAAGACCTGTCTTAAGCGGTCACTTGCAAAATCCCCGAGGGTGATCGCTTAATACAGGTTAGACTGTACGCTCATATGGCAGGAACTATAGAAACGCTTGAAGGAACGAGTTCAAATTAATCCCACACCCAGACCTGCATGGAAAAAGTGTTCAATGTTCCTCGCGGATCCTGAATTTGCCTTTTTTAAATGTTCTTCAATTATATTGGTTGTAAAATTGCTGAGGAAACAAAACAATCTTCAAATTTTATTAACAGGATATGAAGAACACTTCGTAATCTCAAAATAGACTCATGGCAGATAACTAAATATGATTATATAAATTCTCCCTTGAAGTACGCGTGAAAAATTCAAACTGTTCCTCAATCTTGTTGCTAAGCCAAATGTTCCTCAGGGTCCAGGATCCCGAGATCCCACTTTTTTCCAAATTCTGGCCACACCAATGTTCTCGTACCGTAAAATGTATTTTCAAAAATAAGGGAAAGAAAGCAAAGATAACTGATAATGCAGAAAACAATAATTACCATTTATTGCTTGTTCTTGTGGAGACTTGCAAATAAAGTTTTTCTCAGCATTGCAACACTTTGAAGTATGAAATTCAATTGATGTTTCGTTTTTTTTTCGCCCTAAACATAGCTTTCTTCCGTTATTAAGACCTTTAATTGGATTGGCAAATGTAAATTTTGTACCATTACCAAATTCATGTCTATTCGTTCGCTCGTTATACACAATGCCTGTCCAATAATTTCCCATTACATTTGTTGCACCATCTTCAAAACTGTACAAGGTTCCGTCCTTGTAGGTTTTTGAACAATGTGCTTCTGCATCTGGCTGGGTGAGCTTTTCATTGACCGTGATGTAATAATTATTCTGAAACTCAACAGGCCCTGTTCCTAAAAACAAGAAAAAGTATATGCATATAAAAAATTTGAAATATAAGTCGAATCCTTCGCGGCAGGGAAAACAGTGGGAATTTTATAAAACAATGAAACGTCGTAAAGGATAATTATCTATTTCACTGTACATATACTATATACTACTTAAAATACACATTAAAAATTCATAAACCTTGTGGCAAATCATGTCAGCCATAATATGTCACGTGGAGTGACTTTACATCTGATAAAACTCATCTTAATATTTAGTATTCCGCTTTATATAATTGTTCATCCTAATTAGTATGATTATATAATTGTTCATCCTAATTAGTATTCTTTTGTAGTCGTATTTTAAGCTATTCAAAACACTAAATACTACTTTTAAATACTACTTTTAAATACTACTTATATTTATTTCTTATTACGAACTGGTTATAATTAGTCAAAAATAACCTAGCGATTCTGTAAATATAACATAGTCTAGGGGTCTTAAACAAAAGCCCCATAGGTTTATATAGTATAGGCTCCTCTAGCCCTATTCTAGTCAAATTTTTGCAAATATTATTAAATGATTTATGGGCGAAAATATTGTCGAGTGAGATATTTCATAATCTCCAGACCACGCGCAAGCAAAAAACTCTGCCCGCCGCGGCAGGGTTTCAAACCCGCGACCTTCTAATTTTTATAGATCGATGCCCTACCAACTGAGTATATATATATATATATATATATATATATATATATATATATATATATATATATATATATATATATATATATATATATATATATATATATATATATATAGTTCAACTGAGCTTATACAGTTCATAATTTCCCGTCTTCAACCCGTCCTGACCGTATTGACAGGTTATAGCAAAAATTAACTTGGTTAGTTGGTTTATGATGAAAGAATGAAACAGGAGTTCATTAGTTCCATCTATATGGCGGTTCGTTGCAGGTATAATTGTCGTCCAGATGTTAGGGCCTATAATTCATTCTAAGTGATCGATATGTCAATGGACAATGGCTTGCCGTGTATACACGCGGCTTTAAAAGCCAAAAGGCAAAGAAAATTTTTCATTATACATGGGAATGAGAGAATAATAATAAAGTGAACTCATGCATGTTGCTTTCATTATAAGCACATGTTGCAAAGGAAGAGGTACCTGATCAGTATAGTATAATGGCAAAAATTAGAGGCATCTGCATGTATATGTAAAAACATATAAATGGGCTATTACGTACTGTTGCTTCTCCCTATCGAAACATTCTTTTGTGGAAATTAAATTTTTTGTATGAAGTTAAACGGATTATATATATATAAGAGCGGACGCTTAGGACTGTATATAGGACAGCTACACGTACAAGTCTCTGAAGAATAATTGATAAAATAAGTATAACTATATATGAACTGCATGTAAAATATTTTGTTCCTTTGAGTTATTAGAACAGCAATTTAAATTTACAGCAACAAAAGACATCGAAATGTCTGGGCAACCTCTATATATAAATTTGAGGGAAACACGATTTGAAATTGTGTATACGAAATGAGTATATTCAAATGAAAACAAGTTTAATTTTTCTCTACTCACCAAGGCAAACTCCGCAACTGAAGAGAACAAGAAAAAACCACAGAATTTTCATCTTTTAAACAGTTTTGACACAAATTAAGATACTCCTTCCTTTGGCTGTTGAAGTACTTAATGAGGACCACTCTCTACGTACGTGCTATATGTATATATAGTTATTATTTATTCATAACAATGATTAAACCATCGACAAATTAGTCACAAAACCTGCAAACAGCTTGCATATGATAGAAAACTCAAGTCAAGTGCACGCAACGTTTAAAGAAAAGCGAAAAATTATGGGATGTACTTAAATTAAAAATATCCTTATCGCGCACATCACGAGGACACGGATTTCAATACGGATCTATACACAATATCATAGTTTATATAGTATATTATAATATAGCATTTGTATACATTCTGAACGCTGATTGGCTAAGAGCCGTGTTGAAATAATTCAATGTTAACACGGAAAATTTCTTTCTTTATATTTCCTTGTCATGCTATCTTATAAAAAAAATATAAAACATTTTTCCGTATTGATATACAGTTATATCAACACTCGTGGAAATTGGGAAAACTCGAAATTGCGTGAAAATACTCCGCTCTTCGGGCGTCGTGTTTCCACATGCACAATTTCTCGTTTTCCCACTCCACTCATGTTTATATAACTATATATCAACACAAAAAATGTTTTATATTTGTTAAAATAAATTATCTTATAATGATTTTATTTATTGTGCTATTTCGAAAAGCTGCCTTCCGACATGAAGGATCAATATATTATCAACCCTCATGCAATGTGAAACGGTTCAAATATAGTAAGCAATATCGAAAATCTTACATCTTTGTCAGAAAAATGCAGTGTAGTTTATTTTCTTGAGATACTATAGACCCATTGCAATGACGTCACAAATCCTAAGAGTGTCCTCCAGATGCACCCTAACAATATCTGTTCGGGTACAACAACCACATACACCGCAAAAATTAACCATTTTAATACAAAATTATTATAAAGTTTGACAAAATTTGCTTTATTTACAAAACTTATATTATGCATAGATTGATAATTTGCCCTCCAGATGCATCGTCACCGGCGCTGTGACGTCATGTGCAACGGGTCTATATAAGAATATTTAGTCATTACGTTCATACAATTTTTTTATCAAAGAATATCAATATTATCAAATACTAGTTATCTCTGCCGGGATCGAGGTTTGTATATGCGTCCTGTCTGGCTACAGCAGGATAACTTAAAAACTATAACGTATTAATACGAGAATTTGTGGGACTGCTTGCCAAAGGACAAATTGATTCAATTTCGGTTAATTATGGATGACAATTTGGATAAGAAATTAGCAACAATTTGTTTTGGGTTGCCGGGCAGACTAAACTGAATGCATAAATTAGCCTATCATGCATAATTTATGCATGATACGTAACTTAATTCGCTGGCGAATCGAGGTATGCAGTCTTGGAGAGCCCTCTAGTTTAGCATGTGGAAACGTTTCATATTCTAAATATTCTTATATAGTATCTCAAGAAACTGATCAAAATATTGAAATCCGTGTCCTCGTGAAGTGCACGATAAGAATATTTTTAATTGCGACCAGCGAGCGAGCACCAGCGAGCGAGCTGGGAGCATCCTAATCCGTGCGTAGAAAATTTAAATATACCGCTGAGTTCGGATTAGCCCCGGCTCAAGATTCACCGATTCACCTCGGCTTACACTCCATATTTGGAACACATTTCCATATTTGGAAGACTGCATGATATGCCGTCCAGTGTTTTATTTACTCATCGATACTGATGCAATTTTATACATGTAGCTTTAACTTTTGTTCATAAAATTGTACATCAAATGAAGTTTAACTTAGCATCTACTAACTGTTATCAGTGCTTTATTTACTGATCGATACTGATGCATTTTTATACATGTAGCTTTAACTTTTGTTCATCAAATTGTACATCAAATGAAGTTTAACTTAGCATCTAGTAACTGTTATTGAAGACAGATTTAAATAATCAAAAAGATTAAATGCTGTGCATGAGGATGTTGTGATGTATACAAAGAAACGTCTGTTGTTTGAAAGTCATGTGCCAGGCTTTAATATTTATCTTTAAATTGCGCTTTGTCAATCGGTACTACACGTCATGCTATTCATAGAAGGCTTTGTATATTATTGCATTTGAGCGATGTGACTTTGCGCCGTAGCGACAGTATAACAACAAATGTAACGTATTTGTTAGGGAAGCCTCACATATCGATTTTGTCCATGAGAAACGTCATATGTTCGTTTCTCTGGAGACCCCCACCCCCCCCCCCACCCCTTAGAAACGTCACACATAGTTATCGATATTTTGTTATTATAGTACACATAAGGTAATTTTCCACTATTTTTTACGGTCGGCTATTGGCGATGCTTCCGCGAGGAATATGTCTTCTTCGACATATTTTTATTAATATATATGAACTTCAAAATTTCCAACGTTTCTCAAAACAACTTTTTTTGCATGAAATATTGATAATTCGAGCGCGTTTTTCTTGAAATTT